TGGACACTGGGGCTGGAGCAGCCTGGGATGGTGGGAGCTGTCCCTGCCATGGATGGGGTGGCACTGGAGGGGCTTTGAGGTCCCTTCCAACCCAAACCATTCCATAATTCCATGAGGAATGGAAATAATGCCTTTTTTTCTCTCCTTATCCATGAGGAAGAGATCCAGTAAGAGATGAATCAGAGATTCAATTTGGAGCCTCCCAAACCAGAGCTGAGCTGGCAAATTCTGCCCTGTGTGCTCAGAAAAACATCCCAAATTTCCCCATCTCTCTGGAAGCGTCATTGTTGTCACAGTTTCCTCTGAGAGCAAAGTTTGCTGGTTTAATCTGCCCAGTAATAAATTACGAGGAACAAAAGAAAAACAAGGCAAACTTGGAGATGAAGTGAAATTTGTCACAGAGTTAATGACACCCTCCTGCCGTGCTGGCAATGAAGTGTGCCCACCTGAATGTCACTGCCAGTGGTGACAGAGACAGGGCCATTAGTGACAGAGCTCGGTGTGTCTGAAATGGAGCCTAAAATGTCAGGCTTCAACATGAGAAAGGAGATGAGCAGGGAAACTGGAATCTCTGCAGGTGCTGAAAGTCAGAACAAACATTAGGAGAGCTTCAGCTTTCCGTTCCGCTGGGTACGTTCAAATTTAAATGTTTGCATGGAAATGTTCCGTGTTTACAGAAAATGTCAGAGAATCTCAGGATGGTTCTGGTGGGAAGGGAACTTAAGGATCACCCAGTGCCATGGTGGGGACTCTCCTGGAGCCCCTGCCATGTGCTGGGAGCTCTCCCTGGATCATTCCCTGCTCCAGGGGAACATTCCCAGCTCTCCCAGCCTGGCTCCAGAGCTGAGGGAGGGGTGGAATTGGAAGATTTTTGAAGTCCATTCCTACTCAAACCATTTTGGGATTCTATTCTCTCACTCTTCACAGGTGCCAAGGAGGAATCACACATTTCTCTTTGTATTTATCTGTTCCTTGAAAGACCTGAGCACATCAGAGAAGAGGCAGCTCAGCCCCTTGAAAGATTTGCTGTGCAGGTGTTAAAACTCATTGCAAGTAATGAAGTAACTTTTTGACAACATCCTGAGAAAAGCTCTCTCTGTCTCTCACACAAGAGCTAAAAAAGGGTGAGATTTCCTCTGCTGTCACTTCAGGAGCCATCAGACATTACCTCATTGTTTCAGAGTTTTATCTGCCCAAATGAGTTTTATCCATCTAAATGAGTTTTATCTGTCTAAATGAGTTTTATCTGTCTAAATGAGTTTTATCTCCTTAAATGAGTTTTATCTCCTTAAATGAGTTTTATCCTCAGTCCTGCCACGTTTTCAATCCTACCAGTCACTAAAACTTTTCAGACCCAAAGTTAGTTGCCTGATAAGTAAATCCCTTTCCAAAACATCCAAGAAATATTTATTTGGGATGAATGGGAACAGCAACATCCCAAAATTATGAGATGCACAGGCTCCCTTCCCATTCCTGTGTTAGGAGAGGTTCATTGATCTCTCTGCAATCCAACTGAACAGGTTCCAGGCATGGAATGAAGAATTCCCAGCCTCCCCTCCATGATCACAGCACCTTTCCTAGGGAGCCACTCCATGTGAATAAATCCAGGCAGAACAGAGGAATAAAGAAGAATAAAGGATGAGGCTTTGAAGCAACAATTGAGCAATCAACACATCCAGTTCCCATGGCACGGTGCTTCCCAAAAGTTCTTGATTGTGTGGGAATCAACACCACAGTTACTGCCTGCACATCATCTTCAAGGCAAGGAAATTCAAATTTCATTCAGTGTGAAGGGAGGAAAGCTAAAGATGCCCAGAGAGAGCAAAGGAGGTGATCATAAAACAGCTCAGCAGAGAGAAAGGATTCATCTGTGAACAGCAACTGTGGAGTTTTATAATGGAAATCTCCTGAGTTTTCATATTTCTGTATGTTAGCCCACCCAGATAAATCTCAGAATGATCTGGGTTGGAAGTTCCAAAAGTTTCAAACCCCGTGCCGTGGGCAAGGACACCTCCCACTGTCCCAGAGCTCCATCCAGCCTGGCCTTGGGCACTTCCAGTGGCATTTTGGGGATTATTTCAGGCACATTTACCTGTCTGTTCTTCTGTAATGTTGATTTTTGTTCCCTCTCCA